TCTCCGTGTGTCTGTTTGGTCTGATCTGAAGTATGTTTTCTGGGCATTCTTCCCCTCCCCCTCCAGTCTCCTTGCCTTCTTCAGCCTTGATTTCTTCGACGGTTTACGACGACAGCTTGGCAAGCCAACACAGTCTGACATTTGTAAATTCCCTTTGGTGTCAGTCTGATTAGACTGTCTACTGTTGACCTCACCCCATTCCTAAGAGGTCTGTAAGGGGTGTACATAAGCACACCAGCGTGCCTACCGTCCCTGTCCTACTGTCCCCGTTTATTTCTACCGATTTCCTGTATTCATAACCATGTTTATACTTATATCTGTTATCTTATACATGTTTGACAAATAAATAAATAGAATGAGCCTTACAGAAATGAAAGCACGCGATGGCGTTGCTAGTTAGCAAGACCAGATACTGATGTTGTGGGTGCAGCGCTGTGGGTATAATTAAAATGTTGATGCCCATCAAACCACCGTCGGTGGCTTTCCAAAGGTTTGTGTGAATCAGCGTTGTGAAGAGGGCATCAAAGAATATTTTTCTGGCATCATGCGATGAGCCAGACTTGCATAACTAGCTTTTCTTGTCCTGGGGTTTGCTTAGGGATTTAAAAGTGATGAACAAAACAGATTTAAAAGAGACACCGAGGGATTAGTTGGGGTGGGGAGGGAAGTTATGGGGAAGCCTGGTGGTTGGGTTGTAGGAAGATTTCAACTGAAAGGACACAGGAAGCAGAGATCCTAACAGGTTGGCTTTTAAGGTGGACCTTCAAGGTGGAAGCTTCCACAACTTCTGAAGGCAACTTCTCTTCCATGGGTCGATTGATCTCACTGTCGGAAAATTTCTCCTTATTTCTTGGTTGAATCAATCAATCAGAATAGAGCTGGAAGGGACCTTGTAGGTCATCTAGTCCAACCTCCCCCCTCTCCCAAGCAGGAGACCCTACACCATTTCCGACAAATGGCAGTCCAGTCTCTTCTTGAAAGCCTCAAGTGATGAAGCTCCTACAACTTCCGAAGGCAACTTCTGTTCCATGGGTTGATGGCTCTCACTGTCAGAAAATTCCTCCTTGTTTCCAGGTTGAATCTCTCCTTGGTTAGTTTCCATCCATTGTTTCTTGTCTGGCCTTCAGATGCTTTGGAAAATAGCTTGACCCCCTCCTCTTGGTGGCAGCCCCTCAAATATTGGAAGACTGTTATCCTGTCTCCCCTGGTCCTTCTCTTCACTAGGCTAGCCATGGTCAGTTCCTGCAACAATTCATCGCATGTTTTAGCTTACAGTCCACTCATCATCCAGGTTGCTCTTCTCTGCACTCTTCCCAGATCTTTCTAGATCTATAACTCGGGTGTAGGATGAGGCTGAAGGCTCGTTCTCTGAGCTTGTGGGTTGGTTTCCAAAATGCTTAGGGCCCCCCTCCCTTACGTAAGTAAGGTATTCTTACTTAGAAGGACAGCGAGAACCATCAACCGATGGAACAGAAGAAGCATTCGGAAGTTGTGGGAGCTTCATCACTGGAGGCTTTCAAGAAGAGACTGGACTGCCATCTGTCAAAAATGGTGTAAGGTCTCCTGCTTGGGCCGGGGGTTGGACTAGATGACCTACAAGCTCCCTTCCAATCTGTATGTCTCCAACGTGTTAGCTCCAACAAAGGGACTCTCTTCGTGAAACTTGGTTTCAGGATAGGAAAAAACATTCGCTCCTCAACCGTTGCACGAGAGTTTTTCTAACTTGATGGACGTCCTGTGTTGTCATTCTTGGGCATTGTTTTGTATCTGGTTTTTGCTGATCGGGTGCAACTTTTGGAAAAACAATGAGGCTTTGAGCTGATGGCATGGCTCTTTTTGAGTAGGCGTTGGAGGGGATCAACGGATCAACCAATCTTTCTTCTTCTGCCATGGGCCGGGCCTCCAAAGCTGAGTTTTGCTGGCGCTATTGAATAATGCTGGATCAAACCATTCCCTGCAGTTGGCGGGAGGCATGCATCCGACATGTGTCCACTGGATCAGATAACCCTCTTGCAAGACCGAAGGGGAAAGGAGAGGGATAGAGGAGAGAAGAGAGGAGGGAAAGAAGAAAGGGAAAAGGAGAGGAGAGAAGGTTAGGAGGGAGGAAGAAGGGAGGTGTGGGGGAAAGGAAGGGGAAGGAGAGAAGGAGAAGGACAGGAGGAAAGAAGAAAGGGAAAAGGAGAGGAAGAAAGAGAGAGGAAACAAGTAGGAGAGGTTAGAAGGGAGGAAAAAGGGAGGTGTGGGGGAAAGGAAGGGGAAGTAGAGAAGGAGAGGAGGGGAGGAAAGAAGAAAAGGAAATGAAGAGGAAGAAAGAGGAAACAAGTAGGAGAGAAGGTTAGAAGGGAGGAAGAAGGGAGGTGTGGGGGAAAGGAAGGGGAAGTAGAGAAGGAGAGGAGGAAAGAAGAAAGGAAAAGGAGAGGAAGAAGGGAGAGGGGAAGCAAGAGTAGGAGAGAAAGTTAGAAGGGAGGAAGAAGGGAGGTGTGAGGAACAGGAAGGGGAAGTAGAGAAGGAGAAGGAGAGGAGGAAAGAAGAAAGGGAAAAGGAGAGGAAAGAGAGGAAACAAGCAGGAGAGAAGGTTAGAAGGGAGGAAGAAGAGAGGTGTGGGGAAAGGAAGGGGAAGGCGAGAAGGAGGAGGAAAGAAGAAAGGGAAAAGGACAGGAAGAAAGAGAGGAAACAAGAGTAGGAGAGAAGGTTAGAAGGGAGGAAGAAGGGAGGTGTGGGGGAAAGGAAGGGGAAGGAGAGAAGGAGAAGGAGAGGAGGAAAGAAGAAAGGGAAAAGGACAGGAAGAAAGAGAGAGGAAACAAGAGTAGGAGAGAAGGTTAGAAGGGAGGAAGAAGGGAGGTGTGGGGGAAAGGAAGGGGAAGGAGAGAAGGAGAAGGAGAGGAGGAAAAAAGAAAGGGAAAAGGAGAGGAAGAAGGGAGAGGGGAAGCAAGAGTAGGAGATAAGGTTAGAAGGGAGGAAGAAGGGAGGTGTGAGGAACAGGAAGGGGAAGGAGAGAAGGAGAAGGAGAGGAGGAAAGAAGAAAGGGAAAAGGAGAGGAAGAAACAGAAGAAACGAGTAGGAGAGAAGGTTAGAAGGGAGGAAGAAGGAGCTAAATATCTATGGAGATTCTCAGACATCCAGGTCATGGTTGTCCCCAAGATGCTTTTTTCAAGAGGCAACCGGACTTTCTGGTTTTCCTTTGAAGACGTTTTGCTCCTCATCCAAGAAGCTTCTTCAGCTCTGGCTGGATGGTGGTGGGGAATGGAAGGCTTTATACTCCTTGCAGACAGCTGGTCATTTGCATCCTTTTATCAAGTCGTTGAGGCCACTTCCATTTTCCAACACAGTCCTTTCAACGGCACTCGGAGATTTATCTCAGGGTATCCCTGAGTGGTGCAGTTGGGTGTGGAGCCTTCTTGGAACTGTTCCAAGAAGTTCCAAGAAGAACACTTCCAAGAAGGCTCTAAACTCATTTGCACCACTCAGGTGACCCTGAGGACACAGATAAACCTCCAAGTGGCCTCAACGACTCTCTAAAAGGATGCAAATGACCAGCTGCTTGCAAGGAATATAAATCCTTCCATTCCCCACCACTAACCAGTCAGAGCTGAAGAAGCTTCTTGGATGAGAAGGGAAACATTTTCAATGCAAAACCAGAAAGTTTTGAAAAAGCACCTTTGGGGCGAAGATGGACATTAACTTTAGGCAGAGGTGCTACAGCTCAACAGGTGTGGTCTAGTTGTGGTTTTTGGGTTGGGTTGGAGTTCAAAGACCTGCTTGGCCACCAAGCTAAGCCTGCTCCACCTCGTAGTATGTTGCAAGAATAAAAATAGGGTTGATTGTCATACGGATCATCTCATTAATTTGATTCAGACCTCCAATTTGGAGATTATTTATCGTTATTTATCTCCCTAACTTAACTGGAAGTAGACCAACTTTGCTTCGTAGGGGGGAAATAGTAATAAAATCCTGATTATTACTGATGTAAGAGATAAATTTCCCATTGTCGATCACAGTTCAGCTTGCCGGTTTAAAGCTTTGCATATCTTTCATTAAATCAAGTGGGGTCCATTACCACTTGAGTTTTACTGCTTAATCTTGACCGACCCAATCAAGTTGTTTTCTAATGTTTTCCGACCCAAAATTCAGGTTTTTTTAATCCCTATCTTAAAACGATCAAATTGAAGTCGGAATGGGACAACTGACTCTGAAAAACTCACCGTGGGACAATTCAAGAAATACCAGAGTTAAATATATTTTAATAGATTAATAGATTTGGAAGGGACCTTGTAGGTCATCTAGTCCAACCCCCCGCCCAAGCAGGAGACCCTACACCATTTCTGACAGATGGCAGTCTAGTCTCTTCTTGAAAGTCTCAAGTGATGAAGCTCCCACAACTTCTGAAGGCAACTTCTGTTCCATGGGTTGATTGTTCTCCCCGTCAGAAAATTCCTCCTTATTTCTAGGTTGAATCTCTCCTTGATCAGTTTCCATCCATTATTCCTTGTCTGGACTTTGGGTGCCTTGGAAAATAGCTTGACCCCCTCATCTCTGTGGCAGCCCCTCAAATATTGGAAGATGCTATCCTGTCTCCCCTGGTCCTTCTCTTCAGTAGACTAGCCATGCCTAGTTCCTGCAACTGTTCATTGTATGTTTCAGCCTCCATCCCCTTAATAATCTTTGTTGCTCTTCTCTGCACTCTTTCTAGAGTCTCAACCTCTTTTTTTTATAGTGTGGTGATCAAAACTGGGTGGAGTACTCTAGGTGTGGTCTTACTAAGGCTTTATAGAGTGGTATTAGTACCTCCCTTGATCTTGATTGAATCCCTCTGTTAATGCAATTGAGGATTGCGTTGGCTTTTTGTCCTACACTCTCCAAATTGGGATCTGAGGCCAGGTGTGTTGTCTGCAATGACTCAACTGTAGAAAAAAAAAAAAAGAAGAAGAGGAAATATGATTCTCCAATCAGCCCGTAATTAATTTCAGGTTCCTTTTTTTTTTCCTTTGCTCCTCTTGCAG